GTCACCTACAAAAGAGAAGACTCGGTGTTAGCGCGATAAAGTGTGTCAGAGGCCGACCGGAAGAGCGTCGCTAACGGGCGTAGACTTCTTGGACACCAAATCGAAATAAAATGAGAACACCCGCTACTGCGACCCCCGTCAAGAACATCATTCGCAATTTTGGATTTCCCGCCAACGGATTTTGGAGAAGCACAATTTTTGAGCCGATAGCGACTGGGATCCCCGTAAAGAATATCTTTAAAAGTTGTCAATTTTCCGCCAAGGTTTTTGCAAAAGTGCAATTTTCGGACCGTTAGCGACAAAAATTCGGAGAACCCGGACTTCCGCCAAAACAAATAATTTCAACCGTCCAGCCACTGAGATCGTCGTCAAGAACATCGTTAAAATTTAGATTTCCTGCGAACAGTCATCTCAAAAATTGAAATTTTAGAGAGCTAGTGACCAAATTTTGGAAAGCCACGACCTGCGCCCAGCTACTATGATCCCTGTAAAGAATATCTTTAAAAGTTGTCAATTTCCCGCCAAGGTTTTTACAAAAGTGTAATTTTCGGACCGTTAGCGACAAAAATTCGGAGAGCCCGGACTCCCGCCAAAACAAATAATTTCGACCGTCCAGCCACTGGGATCCTCGTCAAGAACATCATTAAAATTTAGATTTTTCGCCAACGGTCGTCTCGAAAATTGAAATTTTAGAGAGCTAGCAACCAAATGTCGGAGAGCCACGACCCGGTAAAACAAACAATATTGAACAAGAAGCGCCCGCTTAAGGGTTGAATATGGAATTTTACCTTTTGGAGACCAAAGAAGGAAAATTTGGACGACCCCGCTACAAGATTTCTGAATTGTGAGAAAGACTCCGCAAGGTCGGGAGCGACAAAAAAAAATTTCAAAGAGGACGAGCATCGTTGAGCGTCGCCGTAGCCCAGAGAGCAAACAAACAGATACAAACAGATAGAGAGAGAAAGCAGCGTCGAGCAGCATCGTAGTTGCTTAATGACCGTGGTTCCAGTGTAGATCGTCAAGAGTATCGAATACACAAATTTACAAACATGGAGAGAGAGAGAGAGAGAGAGAGAGAGAAAGAGAGAGAGAGAGAGAGAGAGAGAGAGAGAGAGAGAGAGAGAGAGAGAGAGAGAGAGAGA